GGATTCATATACTGCTACACCAGAGCTAATTTCCGTGGAACTTTTCTTTTCAAAACAGTGTCCCTAAATAACTTTTAGATACATCACTGTATATATTCTTTTAAATGTAATGCAATTTAATTTTAACTACTACAGGTCAGGTCAGGTCAGGTTCAGGATCATCACGATCACCCTGTTACTGGTATCATGTAACTCAGTACTTCCTGTCCCATGCACTGTGGAAAATAGTACTGCAAAAACGTACCATAAATGTTTTTTGCTCAAATTTCAATTTCACTTCTGAAATTATATTTTGATTTTTTTAATAGTTTATTAGTTAGTCTTTACTATATTGTAGGATTTTAAGCAAACTTTATGTAAAAAAAAATAATTTTTGTAGACCTACTGTTTCATATTTTTGTAAATGTTTAATTGAAATTTATTTGCTTTATCACTTTAAAAGTTATTTTCTATAAAACTTTTTATAAGTATAAAGGTTATACATTTTTGAAAGCATCATGCTATGGAGATTTTAGAACAAATTGTTTTTTTTCAAAACCATATAATTAAAATATTTTATTTTATTTATATGGTTTTGTTTTCTAATAATTAATTAAACTGTTAAATGAGCTAGAAAGTTACAAATCCTAAACTTCACCAATATTTTTGGTAGTCACCCACGCTTCCCCAATCTTCATTTTTATAATTGATATGTAGCTTAGGTGTCAATAAAAATGATTTATTAAAAATTAGGTGCGGATACATGCAGTTTCCAAAATTATAGATAAAAAGGTGATGAAAGTCTGACAACAGAAAACCGCTTTATATCGTGGTTTTAGACTATATCTGTTTATTACAAAAGTTTTGCTTTGTCGACCTATATGCATAGAATTTTGCAAAGAGACTCCTGATAAAACTAAGGTTGTTGTAGATGAAATAAAATGCCAAATATACTCTTTACGGCCATCTATAATTAACAAAAGATGTAAAAGGGGCTAAAATATTAACTGATACACCTTCTGCGTCTACATAAAAATGAAAGTTTGTATTAAGCCTGAAAATGATTTTGTGTATGGAAATGATATTACATATTTCCTACAACCTGTTTTTCCAAACATGGTCAGTTAAAAGTGAAAAAAAAAAAAACATCAAAGAAAGAGAAAAAGACTTTGGTACAGAAACACTTTTGTGAGCAGCTAGGGTTACCTGTAAACAAAACAAAACAAGTAAGTGGTAATACCAATGATGTTAATACTCTTAGGAGATTTTTTTCCAAAGCAAGCTGCTCTTCTGAAATCACTGGAGAAAAAGAAAATTTGATTAAGCGACTTTACATAACTCCTCAAGCTCTCTCCTCAGTTGTTATGATAAATGCTGAAGGTTTTGGTACATATGCTACAGAAACTGCCCACATTTATGCGAATAATTATAGCTGGTACTATTTGCCATCTTCAATTAACAAAGCTTGACTTCACGGAGAAAATATTATAAAATATTTTGCAGTGCTGCCTATTGGTTAACTTTCAGAAGATGCGCAAGAATCCTGTAATAAAGATTATAAAAAACTTTGCCTTTAACATGCCAGAAAATGTTCTAGATTAGCAAATAAGCACAAATGAGGACATATTTCATACTCTTCTGTACACTTCCAATCCCAACATCACCAGCATTAGAAAGCCAGTTTTTGATTTTTATTTACAAATTTTATATTTATATTTCTTTTAATAAAAAATATTTACTTAAAAGCGTCATATACTACTTTAAATAAATGCAAAATTTCAACACTTAATCTTTAGTAAAAAAAAAAGTTATTGATTTTTGATCTGAACAGACCTTTATTTTCCACAGTGCCATGCCCTGGTGCCTTGTAGGTTTTGCTTTTTTTAGGCAAAGGCTAGGAGAAGAAAACTAAAAAATCCTCTGCTTTAGGGCTCTTTGTCTCAATAAAAATTTTTTGAGCAAATTTTAGTTGCATCTAGTTAAAATTCCCCTGCTTTGGAGGTCTTTGTTGAGTAAAGGCTAGAGATATAGAGAATAAAAATACTCATTTTAGACAGCTGTTAACTAGACCCAGCTACTGTCTTGTAGAAGGCCTCCTAGGCGAGGATTTTAGGGGTCAGCAGAACAATTTAGCTGCCTTAAACCCGTTCTTTATCTATTAGGCTGGCGTAGATGTAAACTTGTTTTACATTGTTTCCTGCCTTGAATTATAAACGATGGACTCTACTCTTAGATTATTGCTTGTGCTTCCTTGATAGTGGCTATGCAACTCTTCCTGTTATCTCCTAATGAGAGTACAGCTCTAAAACTCAGTTTAATGGTTCTGAGGCCAGTTGATAGTAAAATATCTGAGTATTAACAGTGCCATGTTGCACATGGATCGTGTCCCTGTTAATGCTTTTGGTATGCATTGTTGAGACCACTCTATGAACTTCAAGTTACAACTTTAGTCTAATTTGCAGGACTGAGACAACAGCATAGTTCATTGCTTGAGATGCTGTACTCTATAAATTTTAAAGAGTCAAGTTCTCTTTGTACTTAAATCTCTTTGTACTTAAATGCCAAAAGTTACCCAATATATTAAACATATAAAAGCATCCCCTACATCTAATTGTTTCAATTTATCATTCACAAATATTTGTAGCCTGTGAAATAACCTTCCATTAGTTAAATCTTACCTCTCGCAAACGTTACCGAACTTGTTTGCTCTTAGTTATACTAATTTAAATTTGGCTGTTCCTTTTTCAGATCTAAGCATTAATAGGTACTATCCTTTAATTGGCAAAGACTCCAATAGTTATATGCTTGGATTGGGTATGTAGTTATGCATCAAATCACCTGTTTGTAAGTAGTTATGAATCTAAACCCCTTAATTTCTGCATTTCCTAATCTTTTTTTTAAAAAAAATTCTTATTCACTCAAGAAGGCTGTAAGCAACCATTATTAAGTTGGGAGATACTAGAAAGCTAAGAATATAATTAAAGAGCAAGGAAACTGTTGACAGAAGACTAGAAAAGTTAAGGTTTTAGATAGGGACAGATACAGTAAAAGAATGTGATTTTGCTGATTAACTAGTCAAGCTCATTATTAAGATGATAACAAGCTTGACTAGAGATGATAGCTTCTTTCAGCAGTGACCATGATAATAGTATTTGTAGAAAAGAGAAGATGTAACTTTACAACAATGGGAGAGATGCTCAAGCTTGGCAGATTTGTTCAACTACATTTACAAGGCGTTTTTAGACCTTGTCCAAAAGAGAAAGAGAATTTCTCTTACTCATATAGTTAATTTTATGACTCGTTTTCCAGACAACCCTTATTATACTTACCTTCGCTCCTTGATTTGTGTCTTGTGGATGACCCTACCATGTGTTCAGTTTCTCCTTGTTCAGTTTCTCCTTGTTCTTTTTTTGATAGTTCTGACCATGCAATGATCTCTATAAATCTTTCATCTCGTACTTCTTCTTTGGCCTCACCCTATCATCACATTACTTACTGCTACCCTAAAACTGACTGGTATTTTTTAATGATTTTCTTTGTGACCATTCTTGAGCTAATGTCTTTTCTCTTTCCGGCAATAAATACACCTACTACATAGCCTCTTGGATTCAGGCAGGAATGGAAGCTTTTATTCCTTCTCATCAGTTCTAAGTCAAGTCTCATTTTACTTCTTAGTTTTCATCTTGTGCAGCTGCTATATCTAATCTTATTCATTTTTTTCATCTTTAAAAAAAAAAAATCTCTTGAGAACAAACACCTATTCATTATTGCAAGAAATCAATGGAAAAAGGTGCTGTCTGATGCTAAACCCCATTATTCCCAAATACTAAATCTCTTATCTTATCTCAGAAGTTAGGCTCTAGAGACTTCTGAAAATTCTTCAACACCTTAATTAACAAAGGTAAGTCTAACATTCAATCTCTCATTCATGGAATTGATCTTACTACCTTTCCCAAGGGTAAGACTGAACCATTTGAAAAGAATGTATAGAATAGTGTTGTCATTTTTGGCTAATTCTTCTAATGATGCTCTTTCTCTTCTAGGCCAAGGTCCAAAAATTACATTGTAAATGAAGTTGGACCTCTCTCCATCGTTGTAAAGTTGCATCTTTTTCTCTTTTCAACAAATACTAGCATGTTTGCTGTTCAAAGGAGCTATAATCTTGAGTTCTATCAACTAAAACTTGTTCTCGCTTGACTTGTCATTCAGCAAAGTCTCATTATTTCACTGTATCTATTTGTCTTTTTTACTATATCTATTTATCCCTGTATCTATTTATTCTTGTATCTCTAAAGCTTTTATTTGTCTAGTTTTTTTCCTTTATTTTCTTCCTAGTTTTATTTGTCTAGTTTTTTTTTTTCTTTTTTATTTGTCTAGTTTTTTTACCCTTTTGAACTCTCTCCCATCTTCATGTCTTCCTGAATCATACAATCTACAAATTCTGTCAACCATTTCCTTACTAATTAACTCTATTCTTAGTTTTTTTTCTCTTGTAACTCCCATGTATATACACTGCATGTGATGAATAAAATCGTCCAGCGCGATATTTTGCGCTAATATAACCGAAACACTTTATCAATGAGCGCAATTATGCGCGTTCGGCATCAAGTCTTCAAGAGCAACATTCAGAGTTGGAAGTTGGTAGCCACGTACGTATGTACGCAATTATGGGGAGGGGGTCTGTCAAAAGCATATCAGTGTGTACAAATGAAAGGGTGGTCGATTTTTTGTTTGAATTTTTTTAATGTGAAGTCCGGGAAATCAGATGCAAACGCTTTTGTTTTTTTAGTTAATGCATTTGTCTACCTATCAGAAAAAAAATGTTACTGCAGATTTGATGTTAAATAATAACAATGAAATATTGCCATTTACTAAAAGTTGACAACATAACTTTGTTTCCTATTCAATAGGCTACTGGAGTTAAATTAACATGCTTGATTGCAGACATTCAACAGAAACGTTTTTAATTTAATTTAAAATAAATAATATTTAAAAATAAAAAATAAAAAGATTAAGAATATTTCTTTTATTTACAAAAGATGTGTGAAAAATTTAAAATAATAAAGCAAAAGAATCTTATGTTTTTGAAACTTTTGATTTTTCAAAATTCTATCAAGTTTTAATTAAAAATTTTTTAATTTAAATTCTCTTTGAGACGAAGCATTTTGAAAATAGTAAACATTCCATTCTATTTTTAACAGTAATGACTTCATAACTTCAGTAATGACTTCATAATTTTCCATTCATTGGTTGTGCAAAACTGAAAGCTGCTTCATAATTTAAACTGAATGCTCGATTTAATTATTATCAAGTGAATAATTTTTTATATATTCTAGATTATATACTTAATAAATATGTAGTAACAGACTTACTTATATAATATATTAGTGTAAGTATATATATACTTATACAAATATATAATAATAACTTATTATAATGTAATATATAAATAACTTATATACTGAAGTAATTTTGAGAAATGCGTTTGTGAAAATAGTGACGTTATATTTTTTCTTTTATTATTTGTGAGCATGCTTCCAAAAGTTTTAATTCAAAGTTATATAAAAATATATTTGTTATACGTATTTTTTATTGAAACTTTTTTTTTTTAATTTTTAGTTCTGTTTAGCTTCAACTTTTTTAATAAATAGACTTTAATGTAAGCTTAACTGATTCAGAGATATCAGTAAAAATATTTAGTTTATTAACTTATATTTGAGAAAAAATATTTGATATTCCAACATTTTGATGTTTTTGAATTTTTAAATATAAGTCATTAATTAATAGAATGTAATCGAACCTGTACGAAATCAAGGCTATAAGTGTAGTTTGATGAATTTTTTACGCTAGATAATTATAAGATATTTATAAAAATAACGCTAGATATTTACAGATTGCGCTATATATTTACTTTTTTAACATTTAAATTTGGAATTTTTATTGAAGTGTTGAAGAGTTTTGAAATTTTGAAGTTTTGAATTTTTATTACATAGACTTTTATGCAATTCAAAGTAAAAGTTCTAGTTAAGCAAAGTTTTTTTTTTTTTTTTTAACCAGGGTATGCTTAACAAAATTCAACTGGAGTTTAAAAAAAAAAACACATAAATTATGTGTGACATTTTGTTATGAATATAACTTCTTTATTTAACAATATGCAAACTCTACTGTTTAAACATATTTTGATTTCAGCAAAAAAGTTTTACTAAAAATATTTTTCCTAAAATCAACTTTCACTATCAAAAGGCGAGCACGATTTATTTCTCTTGTAACGAAGCTAGCGAGTGCTATTTGTTGCTTCTGAAAAGCATTTATAAGTGTGTTTCCTGTGCGCGTAATGATTGCTCCTGCTTCATCACATGGCCTGATGTATATTATATATATAAATATATGTATATGTATATATATATATGTATATATATATATATATATATATATATAAATATATAAATATATGTATATATATATATATATATATATATATATATATATATATATATATATATATATATATATATATATATGTATATATATATATATATTCAAAATTGATTTCAGCATACTTTACTCTATTACATTCTTTATTACATTCTTCTTACTTTATTACACTTTATTACAATCTAATTATAGAACAGTGTTGAAAGTATTGAAAGTGACTACAGCAATGATGACGATGTTCAACCTGCTGTTAGTATAGCAGGTGAAATTAAAATTGGTTTCAAGTATAATGCAAAAGATAAAGTTTTTGAAGTACAAGTACATCAAGCAAAGGATCTTATTGTTGTAGACGAAAAAAAAAACTCAACTGATCCGTAAGATTTATTAAAACAAATTATGTTTATATTTATTTTCATTATATATATATATATATATATATATATATATATATATATATAATATATATATATATATATATATATATATATATATATATATATATATATATATATATATATATATATAAATACTTATATATGTATATATATATATATATATATATATATATATATATATTATATACACTTATATATATATATATATATATACTTATATATATATATATATATATATATATATATATATATATATATATATATATATATATATATATATATGTATATATATATATACACTTATATATATATACACTTATATATATATATATATATATATATATATATATATATATATATATATATATATATATATATATATATATATATATATATATATATATATGTATATATATATACACTTATATATATATATATATATATATATATATATATATATATATATATATATATATATATATATATATATATATATATATATGTGCGTGTGTGTATTAGGCCCCTGTGAAGTTATGAAATTTTGAATTAAATCAAAAAAGTGGATTTGAGAGTAGATTTGAAAAATGTTCATATGATCAAATCTAGGTTTCCGAAAGGGATCTCAATGTGCAAAGACTAATTTTGTTCATATCTTGAAAAAAATGTTAAATTTAGAGTTAGTTAAATTATTTATAGATATATTTACAAAAAACCTTTTCATTTTCAATGCCATATTGTTTTATGCAAAGGAATGTTTTGACTTTTTGATTTTTAATTTCAAAAGCAATCTGGTCTGATTAAATGGTTTTACTTTTACATCAATGTTGTTAAAGTTGAAAGTTTTAATATTTGTATTTTCCCTTTATCAATATTTTAAATATAAAAAAACTTTTTTAAAAAACAAGAATTTATATAATAATTTGATATTAATAATATATATTTTTTTAAACTATGAAAAGTTTTACTTTTTTAGCTTAATGAATAAAAGTGAATACAGCTGTGGGTTGTTAAAAACAAGATGCTTTTCTAATTTTTGGGATAAAGTAATAAGTGTAAGATAATATTACAGTTAGATAAATCTGAAGTCTAAAATTACATAATATTACCATAGGGATCTGTTCTCGGACCAACTCTTTTTGTATTATACATAAACGACTTACTGAGACAACTCAAAACTAGATGTTTTATTTATGCTGATGATACTAAGTTAATAAAACTTATAAAACTAAACACACATTTTAAAATTCGCTAGAACTTCAGGATGGTATTAACAAAATTTAAACTTGGTGCAACATGTGGCTTATGGAACTAAATATATCGATAAGTGCATGGTTTTGCGTATAGGTAAAAATAACCCACATCACGAATACTCAATCACAAATGCTATTGGGTGTATTTTCAAAGTTAAAAAACCAAAACAATAAGAGAATTAGGAGTTATTATATCCAAAGACCTAAAAACCCATGCACATGTAAATTACATAGTAACAAAAGCAAGTAGTATACTTGGGCTTTTGAAGCATGCATTTCAATCAAGAAATGAGCACATATGGAAAAGGCTGTATACCATTTATATCCGCCTGCATCTAGAATTTGCTATGCCTGTATCGAGACCATATCTAGAAGGAGATATCTTTAAAATTGAACAAGTTCAGCGAAGAGCTACAAAAGTTGTACATTGTATGAAAAATCTTTTGTATAAAGAGCGAATAAATAGACTTAATCTGTGGTGCAGTGGTAGCGCATTTGTCTCAGAAACGTAAGATCCGTGGTTCAAACCCCACCTCTGGGCAAGTTTTTTGATCGGTTGGGAAGGAGGCGTAAACTTCCTATTAAATGCTCTTCCGCGGTGCTCTGTGATAAGACCGTAAGGACTTCTTGGGGCACCTTAAACAACTTGAAAAGAAAAAAAAAAAAAAATCTAACAACGCTGGAAATAAGAAGAAATTGCAGAGATCTGATCTAAATGTTTAAGCTAGAAAATCATTTAGAAATAGTAGAGTGGAACTCACCTTTAGCAGGAAATATTAGATGAAATTTTGTGTGAGAGATTGTCAAAAAGACAATCTCTCGCACAAAAGGTTTTATTTGACAGGCTAAGCTTGGGCTGCTATAGAGTACCATCTACTGTTGGTGGGCTACACAATTAGTTTATATAAATTTATATTTATAAATACTCTGTGAAATATTATTTATGCAGAAACATATATTACTATTACAATTAACTAATAATCTTAAACCTAATAGCTTGTGAAATGATTGAATTTTAATTTCTCACATTTATTTATCATCATGTTATTATTACTTTTTATTTATCATCATATTATTTTTACTTTTCATTTATCATCATGTTATTATTACTTTTTATTTACCATCATGTTATTATTAATTTTTATTTATCATCATATTATTATTACATTTTGTTTATCATCATGTTATTATTACATTTTATTTGTCATCATATTATTATTACTTTTTGTTTTCTTGATTATGTAATACTGCAAGTTTCCTAAAATAAAAGTAAAAAAGGAAATAACATCATAAGCATAAACACCTTAAAGCAAGTTTAATTTGATAATGTATGCACTGTTATAATCAGTGGCTCAAAGATTGTAACTATCACTATCTTTTCATAGAGCTTCTGTAGTCACATTAAAAACAATTAGGTTTTTTACAACAAAAAATAAGAATACTATTACTATATGCAGTTTGTGAGATAAAATTTTTATTTGATGTTAATGAAAGCAAAAATACAAAAAACACTTAAATTTAAAAAAATCTAAAATAATTTGAAAAAGAAAAATTTTATAAATATTTGTATTAAAATTTTATTTAATTTTAATACAAGTATTTATATTTATAGTTGTATCATTTGTAAAATACTATAAAGTATAATAAAGAGAATTAACAAGATGTAATTTGGTTTGCCTTTTAAACAATTAATTGCCTTTATATAGTCATGTATATAAATGCAAATAAAGTCTTTAATACTTTTATTTTGGAAATGATTCCATATTGATGGACCAAAGTTTGTTATTAGAAAATTTAACTGCTGAGATTTTATTTTCGCTAAGTGATAGTTATATTTTTCAGAAAATGTTTTTGAGAAAATTTCTGAATAAATGCTTGGTAAGATGGTCTTACACTTATACATAAATAATAATATCTATATTGTTTTTGAGAAAATTTATGAATAAAGACTTGGTAAGAGGGTCTTACACTTATACATAAATAATAATATCTATTTCAAATAAAAATATATTGAATTAAGTTTTTCTATATCTTAGGATGTCATGCTTTTCATCACTATGGCCACGTTTACTATCTTATTTAAAAAGTTAATTGCTTTATATGCACGGTTTTGCCGGTTCTGCAATTTCATAGTTTGGTTTTGTGGATGCTTAAAGTGCTGGCCATATCTGGCAATATTTGTGTACAAAAGCTAACTTTATACCAGACTAAAGCATTTTTATGTTTCAAAAAAATATCCCCAAAATCTTTTCAAGTATTCCAAAAAAATATTTACAACTATTTATGCTTTACAAATTTATTTTTTAATCATTCTGTTGAAAAGACTGTGTCGGAAACTATGAATATTGAAGAAATTTTACTTTTTAATTCCTACATTTCCTTTTAAACAATGGCAGCAGTTATAATGTCATACTTTGAAACGATGGCAGCAGTTATTAGGTTATACTTTGAAGTATAAGATCAATTTTATTTATGGAAAACTTGCAAAACCACTTTGTATACAAAATTCTGGTACAACATCACATCTCTGAAATCATTTGGAATCAAATTGTCAAACAAGATGTTTCAGAAAGTGATTGTTTTAAAAAGTTGAAACAAAGTGTCATGGCAAATTTTTTTAACCCACCCTATTTCAGGCCTTGTTTAGAAACTTTGCTCAGCTAGCATTTTACATACAAAATGGCAATTTGCATACATGTTAAGCAATTTTACACTAAGTTAACACTTTTTTATTCTAAAATATTTTAATTATCTTTTAATATCGTTTATGTGATGTCAGAAAATAATGAGTTGTAAAAAAAGAATTTAATCGCAATTTTTTTTATTAAAGAAACTGATTATTTTGTATATATATATTTTTTTAAGTAAAAGACTTTAAATTAAATATGATTTTAAAAATTAAAAATTTAAATTTTGTTTTGAAGGAATGTAAAATAATTAGTAAAATATAGAAATGTAGAAATTTAGTTTCAAAATAATTAGTAAAATATAGAAATGTAGAAATTTAGTTTCTAAAGAATGTAAAATTCCATTATAGATATAATATATGAAAGCAAATAAAAAAAACTTTTTTTCTTTTAAAAAGAGAGCGTTTTTATTTAAGAGAATTCTTTTTATGAATTCTCTTAAATAAAAATGGATTTAAAATTTTTAGTTTCTATTAATCAAGAAGGTTTAATAAACAGGAGATGGGGTCATGTGACTTTTTTGAAGCCAGTTTTCATGAGCGTGTGTGTGTTTATATAAGTATATAAATATATGTAATATTATATATATATAATATTATATATATATATATAATATTATATATATATATATATATATATATATATATATATATATATATATATATATATATATATATATATATATATATATATATATATAATATTATATATATATATATATATATATATATAATATTATATATATATATATATATATATATATATATATATATATATATATATATATTTTTTAAATTATTTTCACTTCCAACAAGGCTGCAAGCAACCACTAATTAGTGTTGGAAGTTACTGGAAGAGAAAAGATGAAGATTGTAGAGCAAGATAACGATTGACAGACGACTTAAAAGATTGCAAATTATATGAATATATATATATATATATATATATATATATAATACATTATATATATATATATATATATATATATATATATATATATATATATATATATATATTATTTTTATTATACAAAGTTATAATG